TCGTTATCAAGTGACAGGTTTCTTAATTAGATTCTGATTGGTTAGCTTTTGGGCTGAGAAGTCCTTTAGCAGTTGTGTCTTCAAACAACAACAACAACAAAAAGCTTTATTAAGACCTTTAAGTCTTATACAGATTCTTCAAGTAGAAATGTAGGGGTCATGCAGGAATAACAGTAATAATACCAGTAATAAGCATTGGTATTTTTATCATGCATTAGCGCGCTATCTGTTATCAAAATTCGAAACTATTATAGGCGCGTATGATTCTTTTTAAAATAAAACAATTTCTACTGTTCTTACTGCAATGGAAAAATTAATGGGAGGGCCTGGCTCATCATTGGTGAACCCTCCCAGCGGTTTCGCCAGTTTAATCTACTATACCGCTGTTATATTGCATTTTTGGAACTTCCTTTTATAGTGATACTGATGCTAGACTTTTTGAATGGGTATTTTAGATTAACTATGAACATAAGCTTTGAGAACAGCAGAATTACATACATTTATAAATATATAAATTGTTGTTATTATATTTTTTAAAGATAATCACATATATTGGAAATATGAAATTTATATACAGGAAAACTTAACACAATCAAGTTAATAAATAGATTAGTCTGGGTATATTGGAAAGGAAAAGAAATTTCTTTTGTGTCTTCAAGCAATGAAGGCCACAACTCTGAGGGTAAGTTCACGGGCGAAGGGGGAAACTCTCTCTAAAAATATACCTCCCTGGGTTGTACCCACAGCTCTACACCCCCCGTGAACACATGGCCAACCCCCCCAAAAAATATATTTCTTGCTAATTTGGTATAAAAAAACATATTTTAAAAGCTGCTCCCTTTACCACCTTTTCTAAATATAGAGAACCTTTTTGGGGAAATCCTTGAAGATAGTTTAGAGAACTCTCTCTCCCAGTAAGTTTGGCGTGTGTCTCAGTTAATGCACTCATGGACTTAAGGAATTTGTACCTTTTAGCATGTACTACTCTGATCAAAAAGTTTCGACACTTTGCTCATAAGTTAGAAAAAAAAAACTTTATTATTCTACCAAATTCAAATTGTCCCCTTCAAAGTAGTCCCCGTTGGCCGCGATGCACTTCAGCGACCTTTTTTTCCAGTCGGCAAAACACCTCTGGTAGTCTGTTTTCGGGATCGCCTTCATGGCCTTCTTCGATTCCACTTTGATCTCTTCTATGCTCTGAAATTTCCGACCCTTTAACTTTTTTACGAGCTTTCCAAAAAGGAAGAAGTCGCAGGGGGCCAAATCGGGACTGTAGGGGGGTTGGGGGAACACAGAGGTTGAGTGGTCCTGCAGGAACTTCGAGATTTTGAGGGCTGTGTGCGCCGGCGCGTTATCGTGGTGAAGGATCCACGAATTGCTCCTCCACAGCTCCGGCCGTTTCTGCCTGATCGCTTCCCTCAATCGCCTCAAAACTCCCAGGTAGGAGTCAGCAGTTATTGTAGAGCCTTGTTGTTGAAATTCATGATGAACGATGCCCTGGTAGTCGAAGAACACCGTCAACATGACCTTGACTTTGCTGGGAGCCTTCCTCGCTTTCTTTGGTCTCGGCTCATTTTTGAAGCGCCACTCCGATGCCTGTTGGGTAGTTCCCGAATCAAAGCCGTAAATCAATGTTTCGTCTCCAGTAATGACCATCTTCAGCAATTCGGGGTCGTCGGTTGTCGCTTCGAGATTGAGACTGGTCGTTTCTTTCCTGGCGTTCTTTTGATCAAGTATATCGGGACAAAAATTCTGAAAGATATTACAGTGACCTTTATTGAGGACTCACAATATATTACCAAAAAGGCATAGTTTAGTTAGTTGAAGAAGGGCTTGATCGAAAGCTTCTTTAATCAAGTAAATATAAAAAGTTGCAACGTCTTATGCCTTTTTTTGTAATTTGTCGAAATTCGTAAACCTGTGATAATGAACACACAAGATAACCAAGTGTGAATAAAATTTCATCTCTGTTTCCTAAAAAAAAAAAAAAAAAACAGACATTCGTCGACATCGAAAACTTTCCACTTCCTTAAGTTTTGTCCACGAGTCAGCGGACATGACACTTAGATGTCCAGGAGGAGTGGATTGTGTCGCGACAGGGAGGTAACAACACGCCATATTTTGATTATAAGTCAAATAAAATACACGTCGAACACACCATGACATGGCAACCAATAGAAATGTTAGAAATGATCCCTTGAAGTAAGGTTGATATTCTAGTTATTGCAATACAAGTGAAACATCAAAATGTATTGAAAGCATTACACAATTCCGATTCCCTGAGACGATCCTAAAGACCAATCGTAGACAATTCACAATTTAGACAATTTTATTAACTTCAAACTAATTGCTACAGAAAATGATGATAAAATGAAGGAATAATAAATAATATAGAGATAAATAAAATCTAGGGAACTACAGTTAAAACTGTCTATAGTGCCCACTCTGGGGACTCACCAAAATAGGGTACTATAGAGAGAGGGGGTGCTATAGACAGGTCACTTTTAATGTAAATCGCTTGGTAAATCATCGTTGTAAATCATTTGGTTAGCAGCCCCATAAATAAAGATATTTCCTACGTATTTAAAATCGGGCGCTATAGAGAGGAAGGCGCTATTTAGAGGGGGTGCTATAGACAGGTTTAACTGTATATACAGTTGTATATGTACATATTTCTTCAGCGAGGGGGGCTTCCCAGAGAGAGCCCCTGATTGCTTGGAAAAAAACTCTTCGTCGTTGAGAGTCTCCTAACTGTACATAATTGTACATATCCTCTTTGTTTATGGTTCGCTTTATACATTAGCTCTTGACTTAGTGTGTGTACGTTTACCGTTGACGGATGTCAATAAAAGTGTGTAAAATCTAAATACCAAGCGTAGAACCCCTGATTGCTTGAAGGAGGGCTCTTTGTCGTTGGGTGACAATGACAATTGAAACAAATTTTATCGACTTCTTGTCAATAATTTACATTAAAAATGGAAATAATGAATAAACCGATATACAGATGATCATGTGGGGGATGTGCCACGGCGGGTGAGTCCTCTTTCCCAGGCGATGAGCGGGTCCTCTGCTCCTCTGGTCAGCCCAACCTGTTTTTGTCATTGGATGGGAGACTCCTCGACTGTACATAAGTGTACATATCTCCTTTATGTATAGTTTCTTTTATATAGTAGCTCTTGACTTAGTGTGTGTACTTTATTATCGACTTTATTATTGTCTAAAATCTAAAGACCTAAATGTTCAAATCTAAAAGCTTGAGGGATGGGTTTCTTTTGCAAATAAATTTATTTCGAGCTTTCGGGCAACGCCCTTCTACAGGAAAATTAAAAATAAAGTAAATTAAATTATATTACACTGAGATTAAGCGAGGCAAATGTATAACAAACTATACAAAATAAATATCAGAAACAAACACACGTGAGACTACTCGTGCGTCAGATACATATGAATAAATCAATAAACTGAATTTTTTTTTTATATTTTACTGTAGTAGTAGTAGAAGGGCGTTGCCCGAAAGCTCGAAATAAATTTATTTGCAAAAGAAACTCATCCCTCAAGCTTTTAGATTTGAACATTCTATTAAGGGATTAGCCTAGTAATCTGGTAACAATGTTACATTTTATATCATGATGCATTAGCGCGCCATCTGTTATGAAAATTCAAAACTATTATAGACGCGTATGATTCTTTTTAAAAATAAACAATTTTTGCTGCCCTTACTGCAATGGTCCTCCCATTAATTTTTCCATTGCGGTAAGGACAGTAGAAATTGTTTAATTTTTAAAAGGAATCATACGCGTCTATAATAGTTTCGAATTTTCAATGTTACATTTTGTTCATTTGTTTTAGATTTTGCTTTATGATATAGAAAACGTTTCGAATTTACAGTTACAGAGTGTTTGAAGTTTGTTGGATTGGATACCAGCCCAGATGGACTTGTGAAAGAATCAGGTGGGTCACGATGTTACAAAATGTTATTTCACACCCAAATCCTCTTCCTTTCTAGCCCGCGGAATAACCCGCGTCCCCAGGGAGACAACCACGCCCGTAATATCTTATTCAGCTCATCGACCGTCGTTTTCTTCATTTATGAACAGCTTCAGAGGTTTGTTCTAGATTTTTTAGAGCAATCTTATTGTCTTCGGTCGATAGTGGTAAAGCATACACACCAAGTTCAAACTCTATATAGTTTTCTCTCTTTCTCATTGTTAACATCATATGACTATTCTATTCACGGCCTAAAATTATTGTATATATATCTTATATTTAATAAAGAAAATGAATGAGATTTTCTGTTGTATTTAGATCATGTTGAGGATTATGGTAATGGTGGTGCAGTCGTGCTTAAAATCTTAAAATAATAATAATAAAATGGTTTTGATCAGTAATTGCTTTAATTGAGATAAAGGAATATATAAAAGAACATAATTTGATAAAAGTAATGCCTGGCTTAAGGCGAGTAGAATAAGGAAAACAAAAGATTATTTACATAATGTACAAAAGTTTTGAGCAGGCCAACGGGGAACAACAACAATGAGTATTTATAGGGAAAGCGTGACTTCTGGCGGTCGATTTAACAGAGTATTTGGACTATGAAATATAATTTTAAATAGAATAATATTTTAATATAACATATATATAGACAAATGTAAAGTCATACATGTATGACAGCGCATGTGTCTCTACGGGGACATAGCGCTTTAAATTGAAATAATATAAAAAATAGTAAGAAAAAATTATAAATAAGACAAAATACTTTTTTTTTTTAAGACATATCCTGACCGTTTATATAGGCATTTTATATGGTAGAGCATATACTCATGTGAACGCGGTCAGGAGATATGCCTTCATTTTTATATCAACACCTCACCTTTATTTCTTATTTTTTTCACATGAAAAAGATGAAGGATTTGCCACGGCACCAGTCTAAGGAAAACTCATTCTGAAAGAATTTGTGTAGTTTTTAAACGCTTTTCAAAATTTTATCATGAATAATGTAGTGTTCTATGGTGTAATTGTTAGCACTCTAGACTCTGAATCCAGCTATCCAAGTTCAAATCTCGGTGGAACCTACTTTTTTTGGACAAGACACCATCATGAATCATAAATATAAAACTATTTACAATTATAAACAGTCGAGGAGACTTCCCAAACGCGGTAGATTCATCCTCCAGATAATCAGGATGACTTCGTTATCTCCCATTTCCTCAAGACTCAGGAAAAACTGGAAGATATGGATGACGTGAAGTTTGATGGGAGGAGATTGATGGTTCGAACCGATTGGTTATCAGGCATACTAGATAAACATGGAAGGTGTTCACATAGAAGCGGCGAACCAACAGCTCCCCTACTCCCCGAGGGGATCGATCGAAGTTCCCCCTTCTAGGATTTCACTCAAAAGCTGTAAATCTCCTGGGTCGTCGGCATCGTAAATGGGAATTAGGGCTCGGCTGCTGCTGTAAATTGAATAAAAAAATGGCTGTTTGTCCCACTGACGACGATTTATGTTTTGTGGAGCATCGTCGATTTTGTATAAATCTTTCTTAGAGACTTAGTGGGCTTACGTATATCAACACGTCTGATATAGAGGTCGGCCTACTTCATCTCATGGGTTTCCTCGATGTCATAGACTTCACGTAAATTGTGTATTGGGGATCATGAAAACCTTTTTTTATTATCCCTAGTACACGTGGCCATGATATTCATGGTGGGTAGAAGTTGGAGACTGAAATAAGTGCACCACATGTATTTTTTATAATTATTATCCCTAGTACACGTGGTACAGGCCATGATAATCATGGTGGGTTGAAGTTGGTGACTGCAGTAAGTGCGTCACATGTATTTTTTTAAAATTATTATCCCTAGTACACACGTGGTACAGGCCATGATAAACATGATGGGTAGAAGTTAGTGACTGCTGTAAGTGCACCATATGTCTTTTATTATTATTATTATTATTATTTTATCCCTAGTACACGTTGTACAGGCCATTATAATCCTGATGGGTAGAAGTTGGCGACTGCTTTTACTGTAAGTTCACCACATATCTACACATGTGAAGAGCAGTTCAACTTTGCACTTACAAATGTACAATTGGTTAGTTACACTCGCTGGTGGAGTTGGACTTTATTAAAGAATTGGGACCATAGGAGCATTTATTTTAAATTATAAAAAAGCACCCAATGCGGGATTAAATCCCGGATCGTAGAGGGTGAAAACCAACGGTCTATACCATCCTTCCACCGACCCCCACAAAAATCACGCCGCAACACTTTTTATCTAAATGGTTAAAGGAAGCTTTCGGACAAGCCCTTCTTCACCTAACTAAGACGTATAAACAAGATAATGGAGAGAGATCTATATAGCATTTTAAATATAAATTTATGTAAATATAGAACCCAATTTACATAATTGAATAAAGTAGGAGAACTAACTATGAAAAGGCTAATGAGCTTAGTGAATAGAGAAATAGCATGCCTGTTGTTTTATATGTGTGTATATTTATATATATTTGAATGTTTGAGATAGAAGAGGAACGTATAGTGATGGTGTTTGTATACTTTAGTAAAGTGGGTTTGAGGGTTCTTCATGGGTTTCATTGTTTATACGTTTTAGTTAGATGGAGAAGGACCTGCCCGTAAGCTTCCTTTACTAAAATAAATGAGAGTTGCGGCGTGTCTTATGTTTTTTGTAGTTTTCGAAATCCGTAATCCTGTGATAAGGAATTGGGGACTGTTCACTTTTTAGCTTGGACATTTTGCTCACCGTACAAATAGTAAATTCAATCATTTAAGCATTAAAGTTTCTTTCACAAAACAAAACAAACTTCTACTGTCCTTACTGCGATGAAAATATATTGGTAGGTCTTGTCTCAACAGTGGTGAACCCTCCCAGCGGTTTCGACAATTTAAATCTACCAGACTGCTTCTTAGAGTTCTAATACTGTATTGGATCATTCTACTTATATATGCTACAATGAAGGGTAGATTCTTAGAAATAGTTTTCAATAAAACTATGGACATAAGCTTATATAGGACAATATATTTACCTATTAATACTTGCATCGAGCAATGATTTTTGGCAAACAATAAGGAAAAAGTCAGTTAAGCATAAATTAATACAAAGCGATACGCCCCTCATCTATACAAAGGAAATAAAATCTTTAAAGCACGAAAGTTTATTTCATAACAAACTTCTACTGTCGCGTTATGTATAGATGGCACGTTATTGAATTGTATTAAATGAAGAATTGTTTTAAAATATTTTGTGTAATATTTGTATACGCTCCATAGTTCAATAGAGATTCCTAATAAAATTTCAAATTCATAAAATGAATTCATTATTTTGAAAAACTAATAATTATTATAGTAAATAATTAACATTCAATCCTTTTCATTTAACATTTTTAAACTTTCTCTACGAGTCACATGATACCTAATCAAAGTTCCATAGGTTCGCATTTATAACCGTGTGGATAACGGCTTTATTCTCCGTAAATCTCGGTCTTTCCATTTTAATCGCGTTAACAGAAATCTCTCTCAGTAAATTCCATTCTTTCCATGGCCGGCAGAGCGATCTTATATGTGGATTTACTTTTGTGTAAAAAAGAAATTATCTCGTCAAAATACGAATAAAGAAAGGCGCTACTGCAATTTTTGCAGAAATCTAGAAGCATCTTAATCGTGGACTCTTAAAAGCCATCCAGTTCAGGGCAGCTTCGATTTCACGAAGTACCGCCACAAGAGAATGAGGCGTGAAATTTGCAATCTGCTAAAGGAGTGCATTGCTGTGTATTTGGAGTGCATTTGGCTAATAATAAAGTGTGGTAGATTGCTGGATCGGCCTTTTGAGTCAGATCAGAATGTGGCACTTTGCTGGATCTGCCTCTAAGGTCAGATCTAAGCGTGGTACAAGCGGTTCAAATTGATCCTGTCATTGTCTGGAGGAGGACAAGATGGAGGAGCCTCCCTTCCTGAGAACAGTTTTTTATTTTTTTGTTTTATCACCAAATTTTAAATAATTTCATTGACTTTGTTTAATTTATCTTCGATTCTTGTAACAATTATCTAAGAGAGAGTGTCAATAGAATATTTTGAATTGTCTAAGTGTGGTACACGGCTGGATCTGCCGTTAGGGTCAAATCAAAGTGCGGTAGATTGCTGACAGAACCCAATTAAGGCAATATATAGTGTTTAAAATTCTGAAATAACTATAATATCAGTAGATAGCTGTGGAGGAATTGGCGATGGAGAAGGGCCGTTAGCGCCTGTGTGTTCTTCCTCCGTCCGCCCCAATTCGTCCTCAATAGACATCCCTGCGGAGCATCTTTACGTCGTTCCCCTGCGGCAATCAGGGAGGGACCGTAATTAGCCCGGTCACAGAGTGGAGGGTTGTTGAGGATTTATTGTTGAGATAACTCTTCCCACTGACCTACTGTACTGCCGCCTCTGCTGCAAGAACTTATCCCTGGCTAGACCGTGAACACCTGCCGTGTTCTGTACACATTCGTTGGGCCATCATTGAGAATTCTTAAAGATAAGCGACATTAGAGTCTCTTTATCTTTAAGGATCACGAATACCGGCCAGGCAACCTTTATCTTCAAGAACATCATAGAGAGCATTCTAACACAACTTAAGACTTCAAGAAATGACAAAAATTCACGAAGTGACTATAGAGGGCTCTAGAGGAAGAGCGAGTAGTCCGATACGACCAACAGATAAATGCCAGATTATTCCAAACTTGGCTTGAAAACTTAGATAAAATGGATTTTCAAGAGTCTCTTTATCTCTTTATAATAAATTTCAAAAATATTAATAATTATTTTCACTTTGTGATTTTTGAGTCAATGTAATCGAAGTAAAATGATACGAATATTTAAATTCCTTTAAAACACTAACCATCTCACTCTCTCAAAGTCACCATACAGGACCTTAAAACTCTAGCAACAACACTTTATATAGATAAAGTAAAGCACGAAGGAAGATGAGTTTCTTTTTGAAAAAAACTCATCTTCCTTCGTGCTTTACTTTATTTGATTACCTAAACAGGAAGAGTTCTATCGCTTATTACTTTATATATAGTTAACAACAACTCCGCTGCAGGACCAAAGAAAATTAACAGCACGACTTTTTCTAGAGTTACCAACAATGAACCAGCAGGACCTAATAACTCTAACAACAGCACTTTCTCTAAAGTTTACAAAAATGAACCCAAAAGGACAAATCCTAACAACAACACTCTCTCTAGAGTTACCAACAATGAACCAGCAGGATCTAAGAAATCTAACAACAGCACTTTCTCTAGAGTTACCAACAATGAACCAGCAGGATCTAAAAACTCTAACAACAGCACTTTCTCTAAAGTTTACAAAAATGAACCCAGCAGGACCTAAAAACTCTAACAACAGCACTTTCTTTATAGTTACCAGAAATGTCACAGCAGAACCTAAGAAAGTTAACAGCAGCACTTTCTCTAGAATTACCAACAATGAACCAGCATGACCTAAGAAACCTCTAACACTTTCTCTAGAATTACCAGCAATGACGCAGCAGGACAAATGAAAACTTATCCCAATTCGCACGTACAAGGAAAACATTACAGCGATGGTTAGGATTCCATTACTTAGGCTACAAGTATGTCTTTGCAAAAAAAAAAAAAAAACACTGAGAACATATTTCACATAGTTTTCTAAGTACCTGACCCACATTGAGTAACACATTCCTTTCTATGAGAAACTAATCCAATTAATATCGTTCAGTAAAATATCACAATACAGTTGACACAATGAAGATACACATTTCTTACTGAAGTTTAATCTGAAATTCATATTTGTTCAGCATAATACGTTTTCACCTTTCTATTATTTCCGTTCTTTGTTATTCAAGCAAGCGTGAAAGTCTCATTTAACGGAACATCAACCTCTTGAATGAAAGAAATCCTATGTAACCTGCTCCACAGGCCAAGTTCTTTCGAACAGTTCCCGAGCCAAGTTTCCAGTAAACCTTCAGGCCCACTTCAGCCTTCTGCTACTTTATTTTCTCCAGGAACTAGGGTAAGAGGGGCTTAACTACA